ACAATGACATATTGGTTCTAAGACAGACAAGACTGGGGGTTTCTCTACCGACTCACTCCACATGTGTGGATTGGCTAAGTGGAAGTACACGTCACAGACCCTCAGATTTTGAACAACTCGGGGAGCACACCGGTACTCCAGTATCCTGCTTGTGAGGAGAATCTGTGTGGTGAGTGAGTGTATCTGTGGTGAGTGAGTGTATCTGTGGTGAGTGAGTGAGGGTATCTGTGGTGAGTGAGTGAGGGTATCTGTGGTGAGTGAGTGAGGGTATCCCAGCTCTCTCTCTCTGCTGACACCTTGTTATCCTCTCAGCCCCAGTTGGCCCTTGTTGGCACGGAACATTTTCAAAGACAATTCAATCAGCAGCCTCTTTGTTCTGACAGGTCCAAGAGTGACAGTGATCTAACATAGGCCAGCACCGCTCACCTCATCATCATCATCATCGGATTCATCGTCATCCTCAGCAATGTCTTTCTTCTCCTGCATCAGGATATTGGCCAAAAACATCATTGTCAAGGGCTGGCCTCTTGCTATTCTTCCATGTCCTCCTTCCATGCCCTCTGTCCTGTCCTTCTTCCATGTCCTCCCTCTGTCCTGTCCTTCTTCCATGTCCCCCCTCTGTCCTTCTTCCATGTCCCCCCTCTGTCCTGTCCTTCTTCCATGTCCCCCCACTGTCCTGTCTTTCTTCCATGTCCCCCCTCTGTCCTGTCCTTCTTCCATGTCCCCCCTCTGTCCTTCTTCCATGTCCCCCCTCTGTCCTGTCTTTCTTCAATGTCCTCCCTCCCTCTGTCCTGTCTTTCTTCAATGTCCCCCCTCTGTCCTTCTTCCATGTCCCCCCTCTGTCCTGTCTTTCTTCAATGTCCTCTGCTCTGTCCTGTCTTTCTTCAATGTCCTCCCCTCTGTTCCGCTCAGTCCAATGTCAATTTGTTGAGCTGAAGCTTTGCTACAACCGCCTTATTTTCTTTGGGTGGTGTATTTATTTCCCTTCTTTCGTTCCGTTTTGCTGTTCTGGTCGTTTGTCGTTTCTTTCCCTTCTTTCGTTCCGTTTTGCTGTTCTGGTCGTTTGTCGTTTCTTTCCCTTCTTTCGTTCCGTTTTGCTGTTCTGGTCGTTTGTCGTTTCTGTTCTCTCTATTCATCCTCTGTCAGCTTGTCCAAAGAATTGCTGTGTGCCAACACTTGGGAGGAATCCTGGGGCTGTCCATGCCTTGGAGGTCTTGCCATGGAGACAAACAGACAGACAAACAGACAGACTGTGCAAGCTGAAAGTGAAAGCAAGACATGAGGCAGAGAGGGAGCAGACGTGAACAGGCTTACCGGTGTGGATCCTGTAGTGCTGTTGTAAGTGGGTCAGCTGCTTGAAGCCTCGGTCACAACACTGGCAGATGTACTTGCGCTCACCTGTGGACACACACACAGAGCCACACATGTCAACCACACAGACACTCACACACAGAGCCACACACACACACACAGAGCCACACATGTCAAACAAAACAGACCCACACATGTCAACCACACAGACACACACACACACACACAGAGCCACACATGTCAACCAGACATACACACACAGATCTACCACTGTCCTACCACAGACCTACCACTGTCCTACCACTGTCCTACAATAGACCTGCCACAGTCCAACCACAGACTTAACCATAGACCTACCACTGTACACCCAAAGACCTACCACTGTCCTACAATAGACCTGCCACAGTCCAACCACAGACTTAACCATAGACCTACCACTGTGCACCCATAGACCTACCACTGTCCTACAATAGACTTACCACTGTACACCCATAGACCTACCACTGTACACCCATAGACCTACCACTGTACACCCAAAGACCTACCACTGTCCTACAATAGACTTACCACTGTCCAACCACAGACTTAACCATAGACCTACCACTGTCCACCCTTATACCTACCATAAACCTACCACTGCACACCAATATACTTACCACTGTCCTGCAATAGACTTACCACTGTACACCCATAGACCTACCACTGTCCTACAATAGACCTATTACTGTCCTACCACAGACCTACCAGACCTACACTGTCCACCCATAGACCTACCACAGACCTACATCAAGACCTACCACTGTCCACCCATAGACCTACCACTGTCCACCCATAGACCTACCATAGACCTACCACTGTCCACCCATAGACCTACCACAGACCTACACTGTCCACCCATAGACCTACCACTGTCCACCCATAGACCTACCATAGTCCTACCACTGTCCACCCATAGACCTACCACAGACCTACTACTGTCCACCCATAGACCTACCACAGACCTACACTGTCCACCCATAGACCTACCACTGTCCACCCATAGACCTACCATAGACCTACCACTGTCCTACAATAGACTTACCACAGACCTACACTGTCCCCCCATAGACCTACCACAGACCTACCACTGTCCATCCATAGACCTACCACTGTCCACCCATAGACCTACCACAGACCTACCACTGTCAACCCATAGACCTACCACTATCCTACAATAGATCTACCACAGTCCAACCACAGACTTAACCATAGACCTACCACTGTCCACCCATAGACCTACCACAGACCTACCACTGTCAACCCATAGACCTACCACTATCCTACAATAGATCTACCACAGTCCAACCACAGACTTAACCATAGACCTACCACTGTCCACCCATAGACCTACCACAGACCTACCACTGTCAATCCATAGACCTACCATAGACCTACCACTGTCCACCCACAGACCTACACTGTCCACCTATAGACCTACCACTGTCCACCCACAGACCTACACTCTTCACCCATAGACCTACCACAGACCTACCATAGACCTACCATTGTCCACCCATAGACCTACCACTATCCTACAATAGATCTACCATAGTCCAACCACAGACTTAACCATAGACCTACCACTGTCCACCCATAGATCTACCACAGTCCACCCATAGACCTACCACGGTCCACCCATAGACCTACCACTGTCCACCCACAGACCTACCACTGTCCTACAATAGACATACCACAGTCCAACCACCGACTTAACCATAGACCTACCACTGTCCACCCATAGACCTACCGTAGACTTACTACTGTCCACCCATAGCCCTACCACTGTCCACCCATAGCCCTACCACTGTCCACCCATAGACCTACCACAGTCCAGCCATAGACCTACCACAGTCCACCCATAGACCTACCACAGTCCACCCATAGACCTACCACTGTCCACCCATAGACCACCCATAGACCTACCACTGTCCACCCATAGACCTTCCACAGTCCACCCATAGACCTACCACTGTCCACCCATAGACCTACCACAGTCCACCCATAGACCTACCACTGTCCACCCATAGACCACCCATAGACCTACCACTGTCCACCCATAGACCTTCCACAGTCCACCCATAGACCTACCACTGTCCACCCATAGACCTACCACAGTCCACCCATAGACCTACCACTGTCCACCCATAGACCTACCGCTGTCCACCCACAGACCTACCACTATCCTACCATAGACCTACCACTGTCCACCCATAGACCTACCATAGACCTACCACTGTCCACCCATAGAAATACCACTGTCCACCCACAGACCTACCACTGTCCACCCATAGACCTACCACAGACCTACCACTGTCCACCCACAGGCCTACACATACACATGGAATCAGCTGACGGCCCACAAAGATAGAGCAGAGCCCGCAGTCCCCCGCGGCAATAGTTCCCCAATAGTTCCCCCACGGCAATAGTTCCCCAATAGTTCCCCCACGGCAATAGTTCCCCAATAGTTCCCCCACTGCAATAGTTCCCCCACGTATTCCAGAAAAAAAACCTGCAGTGAAAACTTTCTCAGACAGCCACCCATAGTCCGTGAGAAATATATGTTGTCTACATCTTGGAGACTGCCATTATAATAAATAAATAAATAGATGAAATAGATAAAAT